CGGTGCGCGCGTGGTGGGGCGCGAGGCGGGCGAGGCGGGCGCCGCACGAAGGCATTGATCTCGTGCCCGAGATCGAGGGGAGATTGGTCGAGATCTACCCCGTCGAGCCGGGCGTGGTCGTGGGAGTGCTTCCAGACTACCTCGGCCGCACGGCGGCGGTGGCGACGGACGGCGGTGGCTGGTGCTGGCTCTACGCCCACCTCGAGCTCGACGGCGCCGTGAAGGCCGGAGAGCCGTAGAAGCAAAACACGTCTTCACGGACTCACGCGGTGCTCTGAAGACACCGTGGCACTCTCCCGCCTCCACGCCCTCCTGCCGGCGTACTCACACCGCAGGTCGGCGAGCGCGTCGGCTGCGGGACTCGGCTCGGATGCCCGTCCCGCCACTCCTCGTCATCCTGCCCGCCGCACGCACGCGCCCGTAGATGCCGGGATATCTCTGCGTAGCTACCTCCCCGTATCTCCCCCCTATCTCCCCGATCTCCCCCCGTATCTCCCCGCATCACCGCACGCACGCGCCCGTAGATGCCGGGATATCTCTGCGTAGCCATCTCCCCGTATCTCCCCGTATCTCCGCACGCACGCGCCCGTAGATGCCGGGATATCTCTGCGTAGCCATCTCCCCGTATCTCCCCGTATCACCGCACGCACGCGCCCGTAGATGCCGGGATATCTCTGCGTAGCTATCTCCCCGTATCTCCCCGTATCTCCGCACGCACGCGCCCGTAGATGCCGGGATATCTCTGCGTAGCCATCTCCCCGTATCTCCCCCCTATCTCCCCGATCTCCCCCCGTATCTCCCCGCATCACCGCACGCACGCGCCCGTAGATGCCGGGATATCTCTGCGTAGCCATCTCCCCGTATCTCCCCGTATCACCGCACGCACGCGCCCGTAGATGCCGGGATATCTCTGCGTAGCCATCTCCCCGTATCTCCCCGTATCACCGCACGCACGCGCCCGTAGATGCCGGGATATCTCTGCGTAGCTATCTCCCCGTATCTCCCCGTAACTCTCCGTATCTCCCCAGATCTCGACGCAGCCCTCCCCACCCCTCCCCATCTCTCCCCACCTCTCCCCATCCCTCCCCATCCCTCCCCATCTCTCCCCATCCCTCCCCATCTCTCCCCGCAGGCGCGCGTGTGGCCGCCGCACGCCGCCGGCTCGCCGGCCGGCGGCGAGGCGGAGTGCTTCTTGCTGCGGCCACGAGAGAGAAGCAGGGCCGGTCCACGACTGCAGAGAAGAGAACAATAGGCCGGCGGCGAGGCGGAGTGCCTCGTGCTGAAACACGAGCAAGCCGTGCTCGCCCTCGCCCTCCTCGACGACGGCCGGCTCGCCACGGGCGCGGGCGACGGCAAGGTGACGCTATGGACGCCGTCGGCTGGCGGGGCGGGCTTCACCGAGAGCGGCGGCTGCCGCGTCAGCACGCCCGTTCGTGGGCTGGCGCCGCTGCCCGGGGGCGGGTTCGGGCAGGTGGGCAATGACGGCGTGCTGCGCAGCTTCTCCTCCGACGCCGTCGAGCAGCACGCGTCTGCGCCGTGTGGCGCATATCTCCTCTGCGTCGCAGCGCTCGGCCGCGGCTCGCACCAGCTCGCCACGGGCGGCGACGACGGCGTGGTGCGTCTGTGGGCCGCGCCGCCGCCGCCGTCGGCGCTGGCGTGTCTGCAGGAGCTGCGCACGCCGGGCGATGTCTACGGGCTGTGCGTGCTGCCGGGAGGGGAGATCTTTTGCGCGTCCGACGAGGCCGGCGCCTTCGTCTTCACGCGAGCGCCC